AGAAATTGCCATCTTTGTTGTAGACGAATATACCAGCGTCTGACACCAGGCGTTTAAAGCCTAGGTCGGCCATGGACCGGTCGAGGGCTTTCCACCAAGCTAACCCTGCCTGTTTAAGTCCGTAGAGCGCGCGGCGAAGCTGGAAAACCATGTTTTCGCGCCCTGGCTCTTTAAAGCCTTCAGGTTGCTCCATATATATTTCTTCGTCGAGATTGCCATACAAATAGGCATTTCGCACATCAACAGCATGAATTTGCCAGTTTTCAAGTGCGCATAGTGCAAACATCATTCGCACTGTCTCAAAACGAACTACAGGTGAGAAGACTTCATTGAAGTCGATTCCTTCAACCTGGGAGAAACCTTTGGCTACAAGCCTGGCCTTTTTCCGACCATCAGATTTGATGTCGAAGACCCATCGGTTTTTAATGACCTTTCGGTCTCGCGGGCAATCAACCAGGTCATAGACCTTGCGCTTCCGGAGAGCTTCAAGCTCATCACGGCATGCAGCACGCCATTCCTTCTGTTCAGCAGGTTTAAGCCGCTGAATATCGCGATATGTCCATTCTTTTACATTGGACTGGTTGGGATTTCCACCGAATAGTGGATATGCGCGCAAAAGCAACGCTTCGACGAACTGTACTCCCCCCTCCTGGCATAGTTTTGCTAACCGAGCATCTCCGTCAGAATCAGATTCCGAGGATGGGGCTTTACTGGCGCTTTCGCGATAGCCAGTGAACGGTGTTTCCGGTGCAGACGGGTCGTCGCTTTTTCTCGGAGTCTGGGGTGGCAAACTAGGTGCAGGAGCCGGTTCGTCCTCTGGTGGAGGCGATAACTCGCTCTCTATCATTTGCTTCCGAGAGACCTTGCGTGACGCTTTGCCTTTGCCTGGTGAGGATCCACCCTCTACCAAGTCTTTCCAGGCGCGTTCACGCTCAATCTGCTTGTATTGGGAAACAGGATGTTTCCTTTCACCGTATATATTGCCCTCTCGCTTCGGCACTTTCCTGAGACGACCGGATCTCCTTGGAGATTGCCATGGTTGTTCAGGCGGTACTGGGCTAGGAGTCCTTGACTGCTCTCTTTTGGGCGTCGAAGGAAGCTCAGGTGCCACGTCTGGCGCCTTGCCTTTCCCCTTTTCAGGAGTTGTAGTGGGAACAGGAGCCGACGGAATTTCATCATCGTCGTCCCAAGGAACGGGTGGTTGACCCGATGGGTGGTTGGTGTCTTTGGATCGCGGACCTCCAATACGCGTGTTTTTCGTTTGCTTTTGCTTTGCACACTTAGGAAACAGTGTCTCATCAAACAACGCATGGGCAGATGTGAATATCACATTATTGGGTAGGCGCATGAACTTGAAGTTTGTTTCCATACCATCCGCAACGCCGATGTATATCATAAGTTCAGACTTAGGTGACATCTTGTTCTTTCGAACGTCGGCGGGGAGGTGAACATATGCACCACATCCAAACACTCGCAAGTGATCGACTCGCGGTGATCTACCATACAGAGACTCATACGGTGTCTTCCAGTGCAGGCGCACAACCGGAGTTCTGTTGTATACATGCGTTGCATGCTCGACAGCAAAATTCCACCAGGATTCAGGCAAGCAAGCGTCAAAGCGCATTGACTCAGCCTTATCCATGAAGGTGCGCATATACCGCTCAGCACGACCATTCTGCTGTGGTGTGTGAGGTGCGCTCTGAAGAACTTTAATGCCGTTACTTTTAAAGTAGTCGTCCAAGGCTTTGGACTTATACTCTCCCCCTGCATCCGACATCCACTTCTCAATGGTTGAACTGAACTGGTTTTTGACCATTGCCATGAAGTGTTTAATTGCTGGTAGTGCCGCATCTTTAGTGCGCAGGCAAACTATCCAAGCAAACGAAGTGTAGTCATCCAAGAACGTTATCACATATTTATGCTTGTGATACGACTCGATTGGGAATGACTTGATGTCAGAGTGGATAAGTTCAAACGCTCTTTCAGCGCGAACAGGGTGAGTAGGAAAGGGTCGCAAAGGCATCTTGCCCTGCGCGCAACCTCGGCATATATGTTCTTCGGTGGGTATCTCAACGGGTGTAAACCCGGAGACGTGTTTCCGAGCATGTCGAAGCACATCCTTTGAAGGATGAGCAAAACGACGGTGCCATGTCTGGTAATCCAGAGCATAGACCATGTCGACAACCTCCATTTCTTTGTCGGGGAGGGTCTGGACACCATAGATGGTATCACCCGATACACGAGGAGTGAACGTTAGAAATGGTTCTCCTTGTTCAGTTAACACTCTTACTGCCTCTGAGTCGCAGAGGGCAGTCATGTCGCTCTGCAGAAACTGGCCAAGAGAAAGCAGCCGCATATTAATGTCAGGCACAAGCTTTACTCCGGCAATCTGTACGGTGTCCTTCTTGGTTTTTAGGATTACAGTCCCTTCACCGATCATGTTGGTGTGGTTATTGGCCGTCGATAGCCTTACTGGCGCATCGAATGGCTTATACTCAATGAAGTCGTTTATATCATTTGTGAAATGATACGACGCTCCAGAGTCACACATCCAAAAGACTTGGCTTGGTGTTCCTTTTCCCTTACAATCGGCACACGCAGAGTATGAGAGCGAATGCACACAATCGTTATTACTACACAATACATCATCGCAAAGTATATTACATGCGGCTATATTATCGCGCGAAGACGCAGCAGATAAGTTAGCGATGTTTAGTGTAGAGGGATAGGAAGGGACATACCCAACATCCTCATCGTCATCGACGATCATGCCTGACCATCGGGATGGTCCAGCATGTCCTGGATCATCTCCCAGAGGTGATTCACTCCGCGACCCAATGCTGACGAAGTCGTCGCACTCGTCGTCGGAGGCGTCGGGAGGGACGTACTCGGGCGTCGGCGCTCGCGAGGAGATTCGCTCGGCGAGCGGTGTTGACGAGGTGCCGGTGGGGCGCGGCGAAATCCGGTCCATAAGGTTGGGCCGGCCGGACGTCCAAGAGGAGTCAGATGATCCTCCGTCAGAGGAGGGAGAGAGGCGGACACGTTTGAAGGCGCGGAGGGCCTCCTCGTCGGAGTCGAAGGTCGGCGAGCCGTTTGCCAGGCTCCAATCCGGGCCGATTGCTCCGCATTCCTCATCGCTCGAGTCGCTCGTTCCGCGGAATGGCGGAGTGGGGGGAACTCCTCGAAGCGAAGGATCCGAGCTGGTACCGGGTGAGGGGCTTCGGCTTGCTCCCGTCGCGCCTGCTGGTCTCGTTGTCGCTGGGACAGAGGAGAGACCGAGGGCCGGACACTTCTTGTGCTCGGCGAAGGTGCGGCAGGGCGTCTCCGCGGTGCAGAATGGTTCAATGGCAGGACAGAAATTGTGGTCTGCCTGCGTCCGGCATGGGGGTTCGGCTTCGCAGTAGGCGTAGTGCCACGTTCCTTTGAGGCGGTTGACGGCCTCGATCCGGCGCTTACGCTCGAGGTGGTTCTCGAAGGTGTCCTCTTCAGGGCACTTGAGTAAGTGGTTGAGCGTGGCTGTACGGAGGGCGTCGCGTTCCTCGTTGAGAGTCTGGATGCGACGTTGCTCGACGGTGGCCTCGAGGACCCGCAGTTGTTCGGGCGTGGGCCTGATCCCTAAGTCGCGAGCAAGCTTCAGCGCGCCATTCACACTAGGGTAAATGGTGGAGGGTTCAGTCACCTTCACAACCGGTTTGAACATGCGACGATCGGCGACGTACGGTGAGGGAGCACGGCGTGGAGCCGGCTTAGGTTCGTCAGCGGCGACTGCCACAGACGCCATAGTGACGTCGTGGTCGCAGTCGGCGACGTACGCCTTTCCCTTGCCTTTGTCCTTGCCCTTGCCACGGCCAGAGCGACCGCGACGGCGCTTGTCCGAGTGCTGCTGCTGCCCCTGAGGGCGCTGCTGCGACTGCGAGGACTGCTGCTGCTTCTGCTGCTGCCCGTTAGGGCGCTGCTGCTGGGAGAAAGACTGATCGCCTTGCTTGCGCTTGACAGCGCTGAGCTTGTTGGCGGTGTCGTTAGGCTTCTTGCTTGACGAGGCATGGAGCTGCCTCTGGTCGTAGGCGAGGATAACTTGACGACGGATGTCGTCGACGTCGAGTTCGGCGGGCTGCTTCTGCTGCTGCAGATGGCTGATGAACGACATCTGTGGTGGGAGTTTGGCGATGATGAACATGGCAAGGAGCCACTCAGGGAGCGGCTCAGTGGCAGGGACCGTGGTAGAACCCGCGGCGGAGATGCTGGCAGTAGCGGTATGGGAGCGAGCCGTAGCGAGGGCGGAGGTCGAAACGACCTTGACCTCCTTGAGACGGTCCCAGTGCGCTTGCATCTTGTTGAGCGCGGGAGCGGGGTGCGAGTTGCCAGGGATGTTCGTCGCCAGCAGAGCAGAGAACTCGTGGTAGACGTTGCCTAGAGCGAGAGAACCGTAGTCCTTCTTCAGCCTCTGCCAGATGGCAGCGGCGGTCGTGAGGTCCGACGTGTTGGAGCGAATAGACATAGAGAGGCGCAAATTAATGCAGCCCATAGCCTGCATGTCGTGGTCGACCCAGGCCTTCTCGTCGTTGAGCTCCTGAGTGTTCGGGGTCGCAGAAAGAGCAGGACGAGGATTGACGATCGCAGTCCAGTGCGAGTGCGCCATGAGATAGTTCTGCATGTCGGAGGCCCAGTGCTGGTAGTTAGCACCGGTGAGCTCGGCGATCTGGTACAGAGCAGACGACATAGTAGCGTAGAGTGTTGATAGAGTTGGTAAGATCTGGTTGAAAGAAACAGTCGTCAGCGTAATTAATCAACTAAACGACCAGCGCATGACAGCGCTGCAGATCACCAGTGGAGCAACGGCCTTAAGCCATGCTACGCGTCGCCGAGAGGCATTACGCGTTGTCCACCACAGCGTCAAGCCATTGAAGGCGATGCTTCAGGCGAGCAGGGCACCCAGGGCGCAGAGTCGGTGCTGAGTGCAACCGTCTCAATGCATTGCGGACGCGGTGCAGGATGCTACCGTCATCGACGCAGGCCCCAGCGAGCCCAGGGCTCATAACCTGTGAAAGCTGCGCTGCCGCACACAGTGGCGGGCGACGTCAAGCTCACCTGGTTGAGTCTGGGTAAGTCTCAGTCTGTGGAGGACAGAAGTAAAGCGACTTGTATTGCAACGCTCAGACAGTCCTGTATATATACTACAGAGAGTGGCTATGCGGTGCAATCACATGCTAAGCTATAGAACAATAAAGAAGGCTGTGGAACGTAGCTACGCACAGCCTATTGTGTCAGAAATAGATACAGCTGTGCCGAGGACGGCAGTCAAGGCAGGCTGTGCCAGCGCCTGTGAATCGGTGGCTGTAGAGCGCCAATTCAACACGGATGTCATTGGTTCGTGTTCACCTCGTGAGCCGCAACCCGTTTTGAAGTGCGCCCATGTCGCCTCGCTTTTGTGCATCTTGCCCACTCTGCGCCCCTATGGCTCCCCCGCCCCTGCCCGTAACGATTGCTGAGTCCCCCTCGTCTCCGCGCAAACTCGCTGCTACCACGTCGCTGCCTATCTTGTGAGTCGCGCCACAGAAAATTCAGGGGGCTACAACGTCTCCTCGCGGTCTCGACGGTTCTGGGGTCAGACCCGCTGCTACGCAAGCCCTCCATCAGGAAAAGTACCTCCTGACAATTTCTCAACATTATGCTCAACCTTGTCCCATATGTACATATTTTGTCTTCTTGTGACAAATATGTACATATTAGACATATTGGAGATCTTTGAACTGTTTGTAAAATTAATTAAGTCCCTTGGTGGGCATCAACATATTGTTGCAAATTTGCCACATATGTTCACACGATGCTCACATTTGCTGCTTTACTTAACACTTTGTTGCATTTGACAACAGATATAGCACTCTGTTCTAGTACAAGTCTGCTCAACCAGACACGATTCGTTCAGGCTTACACAGAATTGTGATAAAAATTATGCTATTTATACATATGTACCATCATTTGCATACTTTGTACACATACTGGTAACAGGCAGGCGAGAGGTGTGAAGGCAAAGCCAAGCACGGCGATGTTGGCGGCAGCGTGCTGGCGAGTGCACTTGCGAGCGCGGCGCGCGGCGTGTTGGCGACGGGAGGCGGGCAAGAAGGCAGGGAGGACGGCGAGAGGCCAGCAAGAGGCGGGAAGGCTGGCGAGAGGCCGGCGGAAGGCGGGGAGGTCGGCGAGAAGGCGACGAGAGGCGGGGAGGCTGGCGAGAGGCGGACGAGAAACACCGGGAGCGGGGCAGCTTCGAACACAAGAGACATAAAACTGCAAAGCCGGGGGCAGGTGCGGTGGCGGGCAGGAGCAAGTACGTTGGCACAGTCCGGAACGAACAAGTGGGCGCGGGCGGGAGCGAGCGCGTTGGCGAAGCCAGGGGCAAGCGCGTTGGCACAGTCTATGGCGGGGTTGGCACAGCGAGGGGGAGCGCGTTGGCGCAGTCCGGGGCAACTGTGCAAGCACAAGCAGGACCAAACACATTGACGCAGCAGATGTCGGGCACGTTGGTGCAGCGAACGCGGGCGCGCCGACCGTCGAGTACCGCGGACTGGCGCAGTCGAGCGAGGTAGGTCAGCGCGGGAGAGGTGGGGCGCGATGGCGAACCCGGGGGCAGGCGAGCAGGCGCAGGCAGGCGTGAGCGTATTGGCGCAGCCTGGGACACGTGCTCGGGCGCGAGCGCGTTGGCGCAGCAGGCGTCGGGCGCATTGGCGCAGCAGGTGTAGGGTGCATTGACGCAGTGGAGGCGGGCGCGTTGGCGCAGCGGAGACGCCAAGCGAAACCATGTCGGCTCACGCTCGGGGCTCGGCAAACGGAAGGGGAGGGGAAGCTGCGCAGAGCGAGAACGCGTTCGCGCCTCCCGCTTGGGCTGGGCGACAGGCAACCACGGTGGGGGGGGGGGGACCTGGGCCGAGCGCGACCGCATTGGCGGCTCGCGCTCGGGGGTGGACAAACGGCGAGCGGGTGGAAGCGGCGCCGAGCGAGACCGCATTGGCGGCTCCGCTCGGCGCTGGGCAAACGGCGGGCGGGAGGTGGAAGCGCCACTGAGCGCGACCGCATTGGCGGCTCGTGTTTGAGGCTGGGCGAACGGCGGGCGGGGGATGAAAGCGGCGCCGAGCGCGACCGCATTGGCGGCTCGCGCTCGGGGAAGGGCAGACGGCAGTGGCGAGGGGTGTAAGCGGCGCCGAGCGAAACCGCGTTGGCGGCTCCCGCTCGGTGATGGGCGGACAGCGGGCGGGGGATGGAAGCGGCGCCGAGCGCAACCGCATTGGCGGCTCGCGCTCGGGGAAGGGCAGACGGCAGCGGCGGGGGTGGAGGCTGCACCGAGCGAGACCGCGTTGGCGGTTCTCCCTCGGGCAGGGGCGGCGGGGCAAGCACCTCGAGCGCTCGGAGCGGGGTGCGATGGCGGGCGCGGGGAGGACGCTACGCCGAGCGCGACCGCATTGGCGGCTCGCGCTCGGGGAAGGGCAGACGGCAGCGGCGGGGGAGGAAGCTGCACCGAGCGAGACCGCGTTGGCGGCTCTCCCTCGGGCAGGGGTGGCGGGTAGAAGCTGGGGGCAGCGGAGCGGGCACTTCAGAGGTCGGGGCAGCGGAGCGGGCACTTCAGAGGTCGGGGCGGGCGCGGAGACTTGCGCGATGATGTGCGCACTTGCAAGCGCGGTGGGTTGAGACGACAAGCCGGAGGCACGGCCAGGTCACGTGACGTGTTGTTCCGCGTTGAATCTCCAAGTCCGCGTTGGCTACTGTGTCTCTATGTCATAGCAGTCCCAATTCCAAAGTACATATTTGAGTTCATGAAGTTGTCAATAATAGTTAGATGGAACATAAGACAAGTTTATTACACCTGAAAATGGTGTATCACAACAGTGTTGCTTCCTGGCCACCAGTAATTTGTAGGATTCATAACTACTTATATTTTTGGCTATGGAAATCTGTCTTTCATATGTACATGCAGGATGTGTATATAAGCTAGGACTATATGGCATGAAATAATATCACAGAGGGGGCCATGCAAGGGTGAGGTGCCAGAAGTCAAGTATCAATAATCAACTCCAACACTTATATCTGAATTTGGTTTCTAAGCCCCTTGTACATGGACCAGTGCTAATGTTATTGACACCTTCTATGTCAATAGAGCCAAGCCCCTACCCACAAGACAGTTCTTCAAATGGTATTTCATCTGTCATGGTTTGACAGTTTTATGGGCTTTTGGGGCTTTTTTGGGACAATTTGAACAGAATATAGTCATATTATGAACCATGTATGTATATATGTAGAAAATTGCCAGGAGGAGTTTTTCCTGATGCTCCATCATTCTTTGTGAACTGCTTCCATAGCTAACAAATTAGTAAAATCAGGTTTCTGTAAAACATCTTACAAAACACAATGAAGACATTCAAAAAACAGCAAACAAAGAACATATACTGCAAGGATGCTGCATACACTGCACATCACTTACACACACTGCAAACTACCTGCACACGATACACATAACCTACACACAGTGTGCACATAGTTGCCAACTTGTCACATATGACAAAATTGGCCTATTTGTCACACTAACACTGCATTTGTGCATTTTGCCTCAGGACAGTTTTCCTGATGTCCCTGATCCTAGGGCGCAGGACACGAACATCGACGTCCACGCTTCACAAGTCTCTGATTC